CTGTCTAAAAAGGGAGAAACAATCAAGGAATAATTTAAAATGCGAGTAGTAATCACACTAAATTAATGCGAATACATTTTTCAAAGATCCGGTCGCCTAAAAAAAAGGAGAAATATCGAAACATTAGTAAAACGGTTAGTTAAAAGGAATAATTTCAAAGAAAGTTCCAATACCAACACTTTTAAGATCCGGTCGCCTAAAAAAAAGGGAACCCCGAATTATTAAAAAACGTTTCATTAAGGAAATATAGGAAAACATATTAAAGAAGTATCAATATTGTCTGATTTCTCACCGAAATCCCACGGTGAACATAGACAAGGCCTAAAAAAAAAAGAAAATTTAGTACCAAAGACGACAAAAAAAATACAATAAACTATTAAAAAAACCAAAACCTACCTCTATTTCCACAAGAGACGGACACATTTTTATTTCCAAAGAGAATTGGCAAACCCTAAAAGAAGAAAAAACGAACTATTAATAAAGTTCGTTAAATAAAATAAAAGAAAAAACAAAAAAAAAAAAGCTATCATACCAGAAATCCCATACCCAAAGAGATAAAAGAAAGTAAACGAACTGTTAGAAACTGTTCGTTAAAACAAAATTAAAAAAAAAATTTGAATAACTTAAAAAAAAAGAAAAAAGTTGAAACGTTAGAAAACGTTTCGTTAAAATAGATAATAAAGAAAAAAAAAATTCCTACCTTATTTCCACGCGTCAAAATAGCTGAAGAATCAAGTCGTCTAAGAAAGCAAGAAAACAACTATTAGAAATCGTTCGTTAAAATAAAACAATTAAAGAAAAAAGACAAACTTACAAGATAACTAGGATTTTTTCAACAAAAAGTGCGAGAAGCGGGAAAGAGAAAGAAAAGAATAGGGAAATGTAAAAGTAAAGGGGGAAGGAAGAGGAAAGAACGAGGGAGAGACGAAAGGTACGAAGGGAAAGAATGAAAAAAAAACGGTTTAAAATAGTTGATCGAACATTCGAACTGCGGATTATATCACGTGATACACGTGATACATAATTTTATGGCTTTCCCGAAATTTTTTCATTTATGTAATTGATCAAAATATACGAAAATGGAGTAACATTCCTATCCAAGCAAACGTGTTCAATTCTTTGGTCAACAATTCGGTCCTCAAAACGGTGGAACGAAATATTCTAGAGGGAGACAAACTGGAATTACACCAAATTATGGATTAACCATAATCCTTATGACGTGCCCACAAACGAAAAATTATCTCGCGCTCAAGGGACTCGCATTAAGAAATTGAGTTTCGTTTACCCAGTCCAGTTCAATTCAAGCCAAGATCGTTTCATACGCAAATCAAAGAGATCGACAGACCGGAATTCTACGGCGGATATTCTCCAACGCATTGCAATTGTCCTATGCATTATCTGTTATTCTAAACTTTATCCCAGCGGTCTTATATTATGTGTGGACTGTAGCACTACTCACTTTAATAAAATTAATTCCACTTTACAGCATTATCAACAAACACGCTACTGGTTCAATCTTTGACTTACAACATAGGATCGAAACTTCAAGAACGTTCAACCTTGCTAGAGTTTGGATCCGTTATCCGGTAGGACTTTCAGTAAAATTGTAATTTATAATTACGAATATGTGTTTGAACCAAAAAATTTTGGAATAAATATTCTTTGCAGAATTGATGGTTTAGTCATGAAATTAATTTCAATTTTATGTATAGTAATAGGCTCGCTATACGCAAATTACATTTTGGATATCCGATATCCGGATATCCGTCGGATATTAAATTCTAATTCCATTACTCCAACATTACGAAATGAATTTTTTAAACTTTTATCATTAAGGTTGATCATTGGCTTAATGACTACCCGCTAAACTATTTAAATCTTCAGATATTTATTTTTAAATCTGAATAATCATCCAATTTATTAATATCCGTTCAAACAACGGATCCAAACTCTAAACCTTGCAATAGAAGATGCAAATACTAATGCTTTATCTATTGATCACCCTTGCTACACCAATTTATGCCTGCTGATCTTACGACCTTATTTTACAACTACATCGACAAACAAAAAGCCGTGACACGGCCTTCAAAGGACTTATTATCCCGTTCATGCAAGAACTAAACTCCGTTATTTGGACGGAACGTGCTAACAACTTTAAACCATGGGAAACAACACAAGGCGCTACCGCCAATTTTTTAAACGTGATCGTAAAGAAACCTCCAGAATCAACCACGCGATCGATGGGCGTCTAGTAATTTTTTACATTCAGGCAACTGGGAATCCCATAGAGATAGTCTTTTATTTGAAGATATGGAGTTTAATAGTTTTTTTTATGATTTGATTTTTATTTACTTTTAATCCTACCAATATAGCTAATTAATTGTTTTATTTCTCGGTTCCTTTTTCTTTTACCTCGGCTGTACTTTTATAGCATCCCCGCGGCTTGGTTATCAGTTTTTTTTGGTTACTAGTATATAGTTTTTTTGTAACTTTTACTGTAACTTCGTTTCATAATCACTATCGCTACTTTCTTCGTGACTTTCATCATCTGCTTCAATTCCTCTCCCTTTATTATTTATTTTTTGTACTTTATTAAAATTAAATATTAAACCATCTTCCGTGCCATCTATCGCATTTGCCACAATATTTAAATGAACGCATAATCAAATTGGTATCAATTGCATCTCAACTTTCTTTTATCCAATTTGCTACAAGGGAGTATAATACGTGGAATCGCGTGACTTCAAAAAATTTATTTAAATCGATTCTGCTTTCCTTATTTCTCACCGACCCTCCATCTTTTCGTTATTACCTTATCCTTAGGACTACTTTGTAACCTCTTTTCACAATTACTAACTAAATCTGTATTCCAATTTTCATTATTAAGGCGTTTGGTGAAGTTTTTATTCAACGCGTGTTATTTTTGAACTACATCATGTTGTTCTGCTATACGTATGATCTCTACACCAACCCTTTTAAAATTCGCTCTCCTATAGTCTCCGGACTAATATCATATCTATTTATTCCCACTTTCTTTATTGCCTCCCGTTCGATCGCCTCCCATTCCATTTGATCGCCCGCTTCTGTTGATATTCCATTAATTTCAAATCTACATCATCCATTTTATTTTTATTTTTTGTAACAGCATCACCACTTTCAATTTCGATGATATTGATTGAACTTCTTTATTAATTTTCGAATACACATACTCTATAATCCAACAACCTCCTCTTCTGACGTTAACTGAGGCACTACATCTTCATTCTTTTTGACTCCTAGCATCTCTACATTCACCTTATTCGCTACACGTGTATTAATCTTGGTTAATCCATTTTACATAATCGAATTCTATTTAGTTCCAATAAAAAATAAATTACATATATTAAAATATAAATCAAAAGTTCTTTCAGTGTGATGAAGGAAAGTTCTATATGCTCGACATCATTCATCGTTCTTATCATCCATCGTTCTTAAACAGTTAAAGAAACTAAATATCGAACTGATGCGCTAAATGACAATCGGTCTTAACAATAATTTCCTAGCATGATTAAGATCCTGAATACGCATTACTGAATCAATTTGTCCAAAGATTTAGCATAAAATAAATATTTAAATAATCTTCATGCATTGAAAGTCGTTCTACTTAAACGTATTTGTTGTTGCAATTGAAATTCAACAATAGTACTATCCGATTCAAATGAAGAAAGTATAATTTGTCAATACTACTAACGCAGAGGGCTCTTGTACAATAATCCATTAAGTATCAATTAAAAATTTAACTTACTTGTAAATACTCTACGAAGCCTCGAATTATAAATATTCATCATTGCTCTACTTTATCATCATTATTTGTTTCATCATACTTTCGTCCAATTTAATAATAAATCTTAATAATGGGATTTGTGATAACGTATATAAAAGCTCTATTTTTTACAACTAGTAATAATAATAAAAAATTGTCATATTCTAGCAAGGAGGTTGGCTAACTTAAAGATTATTCAATCAATGTAACTTCACGTCATTATCTTTTGTGACAGCAGTAAAGACAAAAAAAGTGATTTCTTCCGCTATACTCTTTATTCTCTCGGTCTAAAGATGGCATAATTCTACAGTACATAAAAAGTACATAAAATAGCATGTTTCCTTTGCAAAAATTCCATCAGATTTTCGCCCACTGTCTTGTATCCCGTTATCAAATAGCAAATACTTTTTCTTCATTGTATTGGGTCGAAATCACACTATCGGTAAGTTGACTATTTCATTCTCTTGTCATGTTGATAATTTATACGAACGAACATATTAATGGTTGGAAAAAAAAGTTTAAATTGAATTTCTTTCCATTTTGATCAATAAAAAATTATGTGATAACATTGATTACATTAATTATGTCATTGATAAAAGGGACTAATAGTTTTCTATTATGAATAGAGATAATGTCAAATAGTTAAATAGTTGGTCAAAGTTATATATATTATTGGAACTTGTGAATGTGGACGTTGTCGGTACATTATAGTAGCAAAAAGAAATCAAAGAACTAATTTGCTATATCAAAGCGTAAAAAAAATTCATTAAAAAATCACTAAAGGTTAGAAAATACTATCTACATATAAAAATTTCTTTTAAAATAGATAAAAAAAAACCTATTCCATGTTAATTGTGCGAATTGTTAAAAGTTGGAGTGTGAAAGCAAAGGCTAGCATACTTATGGTATATTCTAGTACATCGAATTAATCATGTGGTTATGGTCAAATTTTGTCATAATGATCGGCAAATCTCATTACACAAATAACACAATATCTGATATGATGAGCCAATACTTTCGTTCTTCACGTTGTTTTGAAATTTCCATAATGGACATACCCTTCACCTTTAAAATAACTACAAAGCCTAGTAAATAAAAGAAATTATATGTTAATTTTTTTGAATAATAATTTCGTAGTTGGCACTATTGTTCAAATCAAATTCAACAGGTGCGATTAACTGAATAACAGAATTACAATTATTAAAATACAAAAAGAAATGGAAATTATGGCATTATACCGTCCGATCAAAAAAAAAACAGAATGTGGATGATGACAATAAAAAAGGTACCGAAGTAGTATTACTCCCAGTAAAGTTCAAGAAAACTAATAATCCCTTAAAGGTTGAAGAAAATGATGCTTCTAATATCATAGTAGATCCAATAAGACTGGCCAGAATCAAAAGAAATACCTCAAAAGTAAAGAAAGCCACTTTACTTGGTAAAACCTTCATGATTTCTCGTCAAACGTCACGGGGATCATAGCCTTCGTTGTGGTCGGAAAGATAGGACTTATTCTAATGAGGATCAGCTGTTTAAAGTTCGTTAGAACTAGTTAGAACTAGTTAAAATTTCTCCTAAGACTCAAAAATCAAAAGCCTCTAAATCTAAAGCTCCTATTAAGAAACTTTCCGATGCAATTACTGCAGTCGTTTCATCTAAACCGAGCAATTATTGGCAGAACATATCGCAAAGATCTCGGAGATTAAGTTAATCAAAATTTAAATAATGGTTCGAATTTAATGGCTTCATTGTTAACTACCGGAGTTAGTAAAACATCATTATACAAATACAAGTGATTGAGTTTAATGCGAGTTGGTACTCAGAACGAAAAAATTTTGTCTAACAAAATATCACTAAAAAATAAGTCGATTACTTGTTTTTTTCAATCAATAAAGCTTTGAGTACAAAAGAGACTACAAAAAAAACACATATTAAGGGATTAAATCGATGGTATACCGTATATTTGCTGGTGATCATGATGGTGTTCAGGATACCTCAAATGAACAAGTCAGATCAAGAAAACTGCAAGAAAAGAGAATTTACAAATGTGAAACGATCTCATTAGAGAAGCTAATTGTGAAATTAATCGTCTTAAACTTGTTACCAAAGTTATTTTTGAAAAATTTGCAACTGTAGGATCTTTTGTAAAGCTGTTGATGCAATAGTTGAAAAGGATTTCGTGTTATTGCGCCTGCATGGTTATAGTGCACGGTCTTAATGAAGATCTAGAGTGTTTTGCGTGTAATGAGGAATATAATTTGATGTATTTTTTTCTTTCTTATCTTGTGCAGTTAGCGAAGATGTGAAAATATGAGTTGATAGGTAGCGTATAATAGAGTGTGTAGTATTTATGTCTTAGTTTGGAAGGAATAGTAAATTTTCTATAAATTGTTACCAGGTGTTTAGCGTGAGACGAGGATTATTATTTGATGTATTTGTAGTTAAAAGAGATTGGAAGGTGTACGAGTTGATGGGTAGCATATAATAGAATATGTTCTATTTATTCCCTGATCATATAATGTGGAAGGAACGAGATCAGTAGTGTTTGATGTGTAGCATCGATTATTATTCGATGTATTTTTTCTTTTTTTGTCTTCTATAGTTAGGGAAGATGAAAAAAATATTGGATAGACGGATAGTGTATAGTAGGATCGTTATTTATTTTTTTGTCTTGTAGGGAACGTTAAATCCCTTGTTGATGAAATTGAGATCAAAAATGTTTGATGCACAACAAGAATTGTTATTTGATGTATTTGTAGTTAAGAAGATGGGGAAGGTTATGAGTTCACGCATGCGTTATAATAGGGGAACGTGTAATATTAGTGCTTAGCTTGGAAGGAACGTTAAATTCTTGTGAAGTTGAGATCAAGTTGTCTGACGTGTGATGAAGAATATTATTTGATGTATTTTTTCCTTTTATCATGTGTTGTTAAAGAAGATGGGAAAATATATGAATTGATGGATATTGTATATATGGATAATATATACTTTGACGGAGGGACGTTAAATTCTTTTATTGACGAAGTTGAAATCAAGAGTGTGCGGCGAGGATTATTATTTGATGTATTTGCCGTTAAAGGAGATGGCGAAGGTAAGGTGTGTGAGTTGGTGGATAGCGTATAATTGAGGTATGTTATATATGTAGTTTTTATGTCTTAGCTTGGAAGGGAACGCTACTTTTTATGAAGTCGAAATCAAGTGTTTATGGAACGAAAATTATTATTTGGTGTATGTTGTTCTTTTTTACTATTAAATTCCTTATTGATGAAATTGAGATCAAGAGTGTTTAATGTGTAACGAGAATTATTGGGATGTATTTTTATTTTTCGTGTAGTTAGGGAGATAAAGAAAATACTTAGATTGATGGGTAGTGTGTTCATTCTGGTCACGTGATTTATATGAACGTGTTGATATTCGGGGAAATGAAAGGGAAAGAGAAAACGAAAGGGGTAACGGTTAATGTATTTATTTCTTTTTTATCTATCTAGCTAGAGAAGATAGGGAAATATACGAGTTAATGGATAATGATCTATTTATTTTTGGTCATGTGGTGTGGAAGGAACGTCAAATTCCTTATTGAAGTTGGAATCAAGGTGTTTTGAGTGTAACAATAATTGTTGTTTGACGTATTTTTTTTCTTTTTTATCTTTTGGAAACGGTGAAGGGTATATGAATTGAAAGTGGTGTATTAATGAATAGAGATTAAGAAATAGACTATGCGCAAAGATTTTCTTAAGTTAAAATTACTGTTTTTGTTATTCTATCAACGTGAAAATAATGAAAAATATTTGAATAAGAAAATAGGGAATATAAATTAGTGTGAATTGGAATTGTTCATTCATATTAAAGGCCGTATCAGTTTAGAAGTTTATTACCCTAAATTCATAATATATTTAATATCTTAATGATCTTTAATTTAAAATATCATCTCTTAAATAGTACAATTGCTACGTTTCATTTCAAGCAGAAATTTCACTTATCGTTAATTAAAATATAAGATCTTAAAGTTGATGATTCACTTATTTTATTAAGACAAAATGCTACAGGCCAGAACAATTAGGAGTTTCTATAAGTTATAAGAAAAAAAATCGGACATCAGAGATTCTAACCGATTAATGCGATAAATTTCTATTTAAATCAGAATACCGTAAAAAACAACTGTTGTAAAAATCTTCCAATTTTTTATTAATGAAAAATCAAGGGTTTCTCCATCAGTAATGGCAATGAATATTATTTTACTGATGTAGAGACTACGAGGGTATCTAATCCTTTTAGACACTTTCATCTCACACGTCAGTAAAAGGCCTTCACCATAGCGGTCTTCTGGGGATCACCGGATTCTATCCTACTCCTGACCCTCCCAATTCTACTTTAGCTCGCTAGTATAATTAATTAAATGATACACATTGAGATAAATTAGAATTTGGCTAATGACAAATGGTCTGAAAATAATAAAGATTTACTGCGAATCTCTTATCCATATTAAAGAGATAACATCTTCAAAGTAGCCAATTTATCTTCGATACACTACTATATTTCAAAAAAAAAAAATTGATGTATATTTATTCATACTATACTGTACGAAATAAAAAAATAAGATTGCATAACAAAACTCTAGACTCTGTCAAAATTATAAAAAGTGTGTGAAGACATTAATATCTAAATTATTTCCTAATCCAGGATGGGTTGTGTGACTTTCACGATTTTTTCGTAAATTTGCTTGACCAATACCACCCTTTAATTACTCCATTAACTTATAACTATTCCTTTATAAATTTTAGACGGAATTCAAGAATTAATGTAAATCGTACTAATCATGTGGTTATATAGTCATCCAATTGAATTTAAATAATATTAAATATTGTAAACCCGCCAAAATCATGATAAAATCGCGATCAAACAATTCTTGACGCCCTAGATTAATTGTGGGATTTGCACGATGACTTAAGAGTGAGTGAAAAAGTTCTCTCTTAAATGAGAAATAATATGTAGAGCGATGATTGAGTTTCGGCGTAGTATACTATCATATGATATACATTTTGACCCGGATTGTTAAGAATAAAAATCCGGTTTGCAACCAAACGCATTTTTTGAAGAAAATAAGGAACAATTAGCTATACAGTGTTAATAGAACTTATAGCTATGAATGCCGTGGCAGCCTGGTAACTTTATCTGTAACTTGCTATCTTGTAAAAATCCCCTATAAAAAATTTTTTAGAAAATTAATCACATATCGGAATACAAATTAGAAAAATGGTAATTTTTTCCAGTAAATTTTTTATAGGGATATCTAAAACAATGAAGAATGTTGTTATGAAACCTATTCTTAAACGATGTTTAGAGTTCCAAACAATGATATAAACATCTTACTGTAATAATTGCTGCCACAGCATTCATATAAAAACTTGCTAGTTTGTAAAAATCATACCTAAAACAATGAGAAATGCTGTTATGAAGCCTATTCTTAAGTGGTATTTAGAGTTCTAAACAATGATACTAATAATTGTTATAGACATATATACTGCTGTATATGTACATATTATGGTAAATCGGCAAATCAATGAAATGGAGTGCATTTTGTAACGAAGTACTAAAAAAATTTTTCATCAACTAGAAATTTATTTTTTATTAATAAAAATAGAACTGTATTATTCATGGATTTTCTTTCTGTTTTTTTCTTATATAAATAAACCAGTCAAATGTATTACAAATATTTTTTGATCTTCATTTACTAATTTATTAGTGCAACCTAAAAATTACCTATCTTCGGAAAAATTAACTCACAATCGACTTTTTCAAGGTTAATATATTATTAAATATTATATAGCGAATATTTTATATACTAAATATAATGACAAAGAAAATTAATTTTACTTGTTTTTAACCTGTTTATTTGATTTTTAATTATGAATATTTTTTTTTGTGTTCGTTCATCGTTGGATTATTTATTTATTTATTTAATCTCTATAATAAACAAATAAATAATTATATGTATTTAATATTTGTTATTTCCTTTGTTAAACAAACAATAGATTTATTTTCATAAATTCTTTGTCATCGATAGCTAATTTTTATATATCCAAAATTTAAGTGGTGCATCCAGATTAATTCTTCATTTTTTTTATTTTTTTTTTTCATTTTTTTGGTATACGTAGTTACGCCGATGAATCTATAGAATTTATAAATAGGAAACTGATTATTTTCTTTTGCTAAGGAGGTTGATAGATGTTTCATACTTTAAATTAAATAATATTTTGGTATATCATCATTTCTTTCGATTATTGTTTTGTCGATTTATCGTAATATTTCATGATCTAATATTAGAAGCGAATAAATCGACCGGGTTAAATTAACCGGTTCCATGTTCTAAATACAAATCTAAAATTCAATGGACAATTTTTTATTAGACCGCGGAAAATAGTTATTCAATTTTTATCAATAATTATTTGAGTGATTATTACAAGACTTTGTGATATATATCTTAAATGGTTTCTTGACTATTTTTATCATCATGATTGTTTTCTTGTTTTCTTAAAAAAAAAACAAAATTATTATTCAATCTATGACGTTTCTTCTGATATTCTAAATCCTATTTAGGTTTATTCAGAAACAAACATAACAATCAGTTATACGAAATCTCGGCGAAGACCCGACGTTCACAATCCTGACAAAACGTGCGTCCCAACATTCATTATCCCTCCTAATAGTACAAAAATTATTTATTAAATTTTAATAAAATAAATTATATCATTAAATTTACATGCAAAAAATCATATATTTTATTTAATATGAAGCAAAAACAATTGTTTATGACATTAATAAAAACATTAATTTTTACAATAAAAAACATATATTCTTTTAAATTATTACATATTAATATATCACCAGCGCTATGATTTGTGATCAGATTTCCCATTTATTTTGAAAATCGGACATTTGACAGGGAAAAAAAAATAATAATTATCGGAATTATAACTAAATTAATAATTCTCAATTTTGGCGTGTCAGCCTTCATATTTTATACATAAAAAAATAAATGAGTTCTAAAATAAATTAAGGAAATATTTATACTTTTATTTTACAAATACTGTACATGAAATTAGTAAATTTTATGATTTTTTTTTTATTAATTGGTAAATCAAAATTCGACTAAATATCTACTTGCGGTTATAAATTTAGTTCTGGTAGATATTGCGAAAATTTCTTTATTTATCTGTATAACAAATATGACTTCATAACATATGCTTGAATTAGATTATCATTATTTTAGATTGACACGAGAAATTATTAAACGAATTTTGGGCCTACTTCTGGAAGATGTTAAATGAATTCGAAATTATTTGTATTTCTTTAATAATTTTAACGACTAAAATTTTCACTACAAATTAATTGATCAGTTTATTACGATATTTTATTAATTGTCTAACATTTTAATTCATATATGTGCATGACTTCTACCTACAGTAAACCTACTTGTCTCCTCTCATTATGGTTAATTAATAACTTTATACAGAAACTAACGAGTTGCGGCATAGTATATTATATGATATACATGATATTAGTGTTTTTCCCGGATTGTTAAGAATAAAAATCTAGTTGCAACCAAACGTATTTCTTTAAGAAAATAGTGAACAATTGACTATAGTGTTAATGGAACTTACAGATAAAGTTATCAGGTTGCCACAGCATTCATAGCTATAACTTGCTAGCTTGAAAAATCATACCTAAATCAATGAGAAATGCTATTATGAGACCTATTTATAGTTCCAAACAATGTTACTAACATCTTAATAATTGCTGTCACTGCATTCATAGCTGTAACTTGCTAGCTTGTAAGAGTCATACCTAAAATAATGAAGTATGCTAGAAATAATCGCTATAGACATATATATATGTAAATATATCATACTGTATATATGGTAAATCGGTAAATCAATGAAATGGAGTGCATTTTGTAACGAAGTACTAAAAAAATTTTTTAACAACTAGGAATTTATTTTTTATTAATAAAAATAGAACTGTATTATTATTCATGGACGGAGTCGATTTTCTTTTTTTTTTTTTTTCTTACATGCTAAATCAGTCAACTCTTTCTGTAGAATATATAAAAAATGTGTTACAAATATTTTTTTGATCTTCATTTACTAATTTATTGGTGCAACCTAAAAAATTCTCTCTTCGGAAAAATTAACTCACAATCGACTTTTCAAGGTATTAATATCATTAAATATTATATAGCGAATATTTTTATATGAGTATAATGACAAAGAAAATTAATTTTACCTGTTTTTAACTTGTTTTCTTGATTTTTAATTATGAATATTTTTTTTTTTTGTGTTCGTTCATCGTTAGATTATTTATTTATTTATTTAATCTCTATAATAAACAAATAAATAATTATATGTATTTAATTTTTATTTTTTTCCTTTGTCAAACAAACAATAGATTTATGTTCATAACTTCTTTGTCATCGATAACTAATTTTTATATATTCAAAAATTTAAGTGGTGCAGCCAGATTAATTCTTTTCCATTTTTTGGTATACGCAGTTACGCCGATGAATCTATAGAATTTATAAATAGGAAACTGATTGTTTTCTTTTGTTAAGGAGGTTGATAGATGTTTCATACTTTAAATTAAATAATATTTTGGTATATCATTTGTTCATTTCTTTCGATTATTGTTTGTCGATTTGTCGTAATATTTCATGATCTAATATTAAAAGCGAATAAATCGACCGGGTTAAATTAACCGGTTCCATGTTCTAAACACAAATCTAAAATTCAATAAACAATTTTTTATTAGATCGCGGAAAATAGTTATTCAATTTTTATCAATAATTATTTGATATATATCTTAAATGGTTTCTTGACTATTTTTATTATCATCATTGTTTTTCTTTTGTTTTCTTACAAAATTATTATTCAAAACTATGACGTTTCCCCCAATATTCTAAATCCTATTTAGGTTTATTTAGAAACAAAACATAACTATCAATTATACGAAATCTCGGCGAAGACCCGACGTTCACAATACTGACAAATCGTCCCAACATTCATTATCACTCCTAATAGTACAAAAATTATTTATTAAATTTTAATAAAATAAATTATTATATCATTATTTACATGCAAAAAATCATATATTTATATTTAATATGTAGTACAATTGTTTATGACGTATTAATAAAAACATTAATTCTTACAATAAAAAACAAATTCTTACATATTAATAGATATATTAATTGTTACAAATGAAAGTATTATATCGTTATCACCAGCGGCTATGATGATTTGTCCATCAGATGATTTTGAATGGTCCCATTTATTTTGAAAATCGGTCATTGATAGGGAAAATAGGGAAAAAAAAAAAATAATTATCGGAATTATAACTAAATTCATAATATCTCAATCCCTGCCTTCATATTTTATACATAAAAAAATGTGTTTTAAAATAAATTAAGGAAATTTTTATATATCAAAATTCGACTAAAAGTAGAAAAATATACACAAACATCTACTTACTGGTTATGAATTTAGTTCCGGTAGATATTGCGAAAATTTCTTTATTTACTTGTATAAAATTTTATGCAAATATGAATTCATACGTATGCTTAAATTTGATTATCATTATTTTAGATTGACATGAGGAATTATTAAACGAATTTTAGGCCTACTTGTTGTAGATGTTAAATGAATTCGAAATTGTTTGTATTTCTTTTAATTTGTAGTGAAAATTCTAGTCATTATACGTGACATATACATCAAATATCTCTTGTTATAACGAATCAGCCAATTAAATTCTTTAAATTCTTCTCTAATTACATGTCTCGTTGTTTCATTTACAGCATTATGAGAATATTTAGAAATATTTCTTTTCACTTAATGTTCAAAGGCTGGAATTGGCATTCAACCTTCGGATTTAAATCCATGTCATTCGATTTGAATTATAGATCGAAAGTATCAAATTCGAATGAAATGAAGGTAAACTGAATATCCAGTCGAATGAACCGATAACAAATTTAATAAACAAATTCAAATCCAAACTCTATATGTTTAAATTATCGTTTAACGGGAAAAACAATTTTATTTGTAACTAAATGTAAACAAAAAATCAAAGAAGTCGTCCCCTGCACATTCTTTTTGACAAACAAATATTCGTATAAGGAGAACAAACATCTGTTTATATTAAGTTGACATGATCAACAAAATGTCTAACTTTTAAATTTTTTATCTGGTACCACCTTAGACGCTATAAAACGTTAATTCTTCCTCTTCCCATTTTTTTTTTTAAAAAAAGTTCTTTTAAAAATTCTTTCCATTAAATCTCTTCGCACTTTTTTAAAAAATCATGTCTTTATCAACATTGCCTACTGAATGTTCTAGTAGCATACTCTATTTCCTTGATAAAGCTTCTTTATATAAATGTTTATTTGTTAATAGACATTATTGCAGAGTTACCATCCCCGTAATTTGGAAGGACCCCTTTATCAAGAAATTTTCAACTACTATTAGTTTTTCATTAATAAATACATTATTACTTGAAGAAGAAGATATTTTTTCATTAATTCCCTGCACAACAAGACTTTATACCAACCGAACTCTATTTGAATATGGGAAATTCATACAAAAAGTTAATCATAATCATTTGGTAAAACACGTCAAAACTTTTCTTGAATCAAATAATATGCGTAATATAGATTACACAGTTCAAAAAGTTGTAGATATTATATACCACATGATTATTAGGAAAAGTTCTACCTTACAAGAATTCGAGGTAGATGTAGCCCAGGAAAATTTTCCCAAAATTCCCTCTTTTACAAATTATGGATTCAAATATTTAAGATCTTTAACTATAGTGGATTTAGTAACCGACAATGATGAAAAACTTCAGAATATTGCTGAATTTTTAAATATGGTGTCCAAATATTGTAATTATATTGTTAATTTAGAACTATGTATCAATTCTTTTGATAATGTATTTTTAAGACAATATTTGGATATTATCAAGTTACAACCTTTAAAAAAAATAACAATTTATCTTGAATGTATTGAAAAAGTTCCCAATTTGGGTTTAGAATTTCGAAAAGAAACCTTAAAAGTATTAGTACTTGATAATGTAGATTTTCAACATTTTGATTTATCATTAATATCAAAATTAAAATGTTTAGAACACCTTGAGTTTTTATATTGTGAAGGGTTTGATCATTGTAAAGATCTTTTTAAGGATAAATTATATCTTAAAGAATTTAAGCTATGGCGTTGTGATTCGGAAAACTTGGTTGAAGTAATTATTAATTGTTTTTGCAGTGAGTCATTATTAAAATTATCTTTGAGTGATGTTTCTCCAAGAGCGGTCAAAGCAGTAAAAGAAACTTGCCCAAATATTAGTTTTTTATGTATACAGTTTCAATCAACAAAATTTACCGATTCAATAATTCCATTTATCTGTAAATTTTCATCAGTAAGAGTCTTAAACATTGAAATCAATTTTAGATTTGATACGAGTTCATTAGTTAGAAAATTGGCCGATTATTTAATATTTGTTGAATGTTTATATCTTGATTTTAATGTTGATTTACCAGGATTTATATATTTTATTAATAATTGTAAAGCTAATTTGAAAAAATGGATTATTACCTTAGATAATAGTACTTCAAGTAAAGATTATTTATTATATGTAAATAAATTTCAGAAAGCCCATAATTCTTTAAAAGCATTTGGAATTAAGAAGTTTGGATACAATTTGATGAATGAAGAAATAGAAATTGTTGACATATTAAAGAGTCAAGGAATTGATCTTGTTGCACCTGGCGAATTGGATTATTTATTTCATTAAAATTATGCAAGAGATTTAAGAAATTTTAACACATTTAGATATATTTCTCTTTAAATATATGTATCTAAAATAAAACAGCCACTTATTGAAATCAATTCGAATAAAAATTCAAATAGATTACAATAATCAGGATAGGGTCGGATATATATTTCTATTTATGATAAATTTTCAAAGTCATAGAAATAATAATAGAAACATAAAGAAGAAATAATAATGATATTACAATCTTTTATAATTTATGCAAGATTAACATCATTTAAAAATAAAAATACTATTCACATAAATATATTATTGAATATTTTATTCATTCGAATAATATTTTTTTAATATACAGTATTTAATAAATCCTTGTAAATCATAAAATAAAACATCATAGTGAGATATTATTAACGCACCTGATGATAAGGAGACTTTTAAAACACAATTATCAAGAAATATAATGATATTGCGATATAGTGATATAGTGATGAAGAGCTTTTTATCAGATTTGCAACTAGGGATGGCAACGGTCGGTCATGGTCATTTGACCGACCGTTGTCTGACCGACCGCTTAACCGACCGTTTAACTGATTATTTTGCTAGAAAATGAATATCTATTGAGTACTTTTTTAAAAAAAAATTTAAATTTTAAATGCATTGTACTAATAAGATAATTTTTTTTAATCATTTTGATTAAAATGACCGGCGGTTAAACGGTCAGTCATACCGGTCGGTCAAACAGTCGGTCAGGGATCGGTTAATAACCGTGACTATTGCCATCCCTGCCTATTTGCCTAATTCATAGAACTTTGAGAATTTCATTAATTTGAAGAGTACTATTTTTTATCTATGATCATTCTGTCCCATTGAGTTTATTATTTATGTTAAGTGATTAATGTAAATTAAACTGTTTTATTTATTCACTTGCTTGGATAACTAGTAATGTGTTATTCTCACTTCCCAATTCATTTTGTCATTTGGACATTTTAGTATTTGATTTTGATTGATCATAATTATTATTAATAACTGTAACATCAAAGATATCAAATATACTTTGTATACTCTCGTGTAGTATGAGCTGTAAATTATAATTATTTTTGAGGCATTATTAGGCTATTTAACAAATGTCAAGGTTCCTAATGTTTAAAAGATTAATTTCGCTTTATCATATTTATTATTGTGTGCTTATTATTATTTGAAATAACCAACTAAATTCGGGCAAAATTAATTGACCTTCGCAACTACTTTATATTATCGTGATAGTATAAAAATAATTCATCTTAATAATGTTACAAAGGCCATATTTAACCCATATTCAACTCTGGTGTTTAATCCCTGTAAAAATACAAATAAACACTGGATGATAATCAGTTTCAGAACGCAAAACGCTTAACGCCCTGGTATGATGATGTATCATTTATAATGGGATGATGGAATTATGCTGTATTGTTAATATATTATTGATAATAAGGAACACAAGTTAAAAGTATATTATAAATTCCACATTACATTATGAGTGATTACAGGTTAAATAGAAATAATACTAATTCAACACATAGAACGATAAGTATGTAGAAAATAACAATCACTGCGCATGCAATAAAATTTAAGGGCAAATTTTTCTTATTATGATAGCCATATTAAAAATTATGGTGCCGTATAGTTATTAATTATATAGTTTATGTATGTAGATCAAAATCGGCTAAAATAAATTTTATTGGAGATTTTCGAATCCATAATTCTGGCCAAATTTTGCTTAATTCTGGCCAATTTTATAATGCCGGCCTAAATTTGATAAAAATTGAAAAATGCAGTTCAAATGTAACATCACATTTATATAAAATAACTTTCAAACTAAATATAAAAAATAATACTTTTTGTCAACATCTAAGAGTATGTTGAAAAATTTCTTCATATACTTTTTGTTTTTTAAGGTGGATCTTAACTAGAAGTTGGTACATTTTGTTTGCTAAAAATAAGGAATAATGAGAAAAACTTGAAATTTGTCAAATATAGCAAATAATTTAAAACTCCAAATTAAGACAGAAAGTATTTTATATAATTTTATAACAAAAAAAAAGCTTAAAAAAATATTAACTCTAATAAATTTTCAAATAAACCCAGAATCTATAAAGAAAAATTTCCTTTTTTTCATTATATTGTATAATAGTATTATAAATTCTTTATTATTTCAATGATTTTAATTACAAAACAAACTATTTTCTAATTTAAAAACAATTTGAATATTAAAATAAAAAAATTTCGTGATGGAATAAATAGGAATCTAATATTAAAACATGATTGGACAAAAGTGGATTTACTAGAAATAACGAAAATTTTGTAGTTTTTTTTAATTTAAAACAAATATATTATTCAAAAATAAATCTAATAATACAGTAATAATACTCTTCCCTTCTTTTTTTCCTATAATAAATAAAATTTTATCATTATTTCATATTAAAAAATAGAGAAAATTTGATAAATTCAATAATAAACAAAATTCTTATTGGGTTACCGACCTTATTAACTTAATAAAAGTTGTTTTTTTTGAAAAGTTACACCTAAAAATAAAATATTTATTATTAGTTAAAGGATTCTCATTAAAATTTATTGAAGTAAAAATTCTTTTTTTATTAAAAAATCAATTTTTTTGTGTTTATACAAAAACTACCTGAATAACTACCATTAAACCCTTAGAAAATCTTTTTTCTCTTGCAAAATTACATATATTTTTGCTATTAAAACTATATATTTATCCAAACTTTTAAAAGGATCTCAAAAAAAGTTCATTTTTTAACGTATATGCGAAGAGAAAAAAAAAATTTCAAAAAATGGAAAATTAACTTCAGAGACTAGTAAAGTTAATTTGTATGGGAGTTACATATTAAAATTGACGGTTTATCATAAAATGAAGTGACTCAAATATGGTTACACGAATTTTTTTTAATATGAAAATGATTTGCATATTACATACGCGGTGATTTATGTTGGTTATTCGCGGTAAACTTATGACGCTTACTTCTGTGATATCCCTCTTCTTTACTTACAAAACCATAAGTGGCGTAGTGGCGTGACAAGATCACAAGAAGTCCAAAAGTAGTTAAAAATTATTCAACGAGTTTTTAATGTGGGAATTATAATTTATTATTGTATTAACAAACAATAAATATATTTATTATATTTCTTTTTTAACCTACGTTCATTATAGATCAAAGTGAGATTACTTCAAATGGTAGCGTTCCAACTTCTAAACACGGATATGCTAAAGAATCGCTGATTTACACGTATTGAGATATAAAATACAAGAAAACAACGTTTGATCCATTAGACACACGAAAAAAAAAGAAATATCTTTTTTATGCACATATAAAAATATAAATCCTTTATATTTTTTTTTGTATTTTTTTAAATTTTTTTTTTATATTTAAAAATGTTCTTATATAGTATTACTCAAAAATATATATAGATAAGATTTAAAATATATAATAATAAAGAAGAATGTTTCTTTCGATTTACAAAAAAAAAAAAATACAAGTCTAAGTCAATAATTGGTAGTACGGCGGCAACTTCCGTCTTGAATAAGTTAATAATTACATAATTCATGAGTAATCATCAATTTCAAAATTCTTAACAACACCTAATTTGATATATTTTTCAATGATTTTCATATTTTCAACATTTTTATCTAATCCATTTTTACAAAATTCACTATCAAAGATCACAAAAGAAAGTGGTTTTTGTGGTATACGTTTTTTCCAATCTATAAAAAAGGACTCTAATTCACTTGGAAGTAATTCAAATTTTACGTCAAATTCATATTGTAAAATTATTTCAAAAATATTTTTTGAATATTCTAAAACTGCCTCCAATGCTTCCTTTTCGTTCAAAAATCTACCTCCGCACCAAATTTTAATACTTTCTAAATATTGACAATTATTAAATAATATTTTTAACATTTCCAATGCCTTATCACTAAATCCAGTAGAAAGTTTTCTGATGTTTGGACAATATTTAGCAATTGTTAAATTCAAGGAATTAATACTATTCTCACTATCCTCACTAATTTCACTTTCACAATCATCAACATCTATGTGAATTTTTTTTAAATTTTTTCCATTATTTTTTAAAAATTTTATTAAAAACTCCATTCTTGGACATGCATATTTAATTATTAAAATTTGTAATTGTGGGAAAATAGCATCTTGTAATTTTTCAAAACTCTCAATACATTCACTAAAATCAAATGATATTTCAAGTTCTTGTAAATTTGTAAAATTTACTAGAAATGATAATGAAATATTATAATTCTCTCCAACAACAACAAATCTAGTTAAAGTTTTAGGAAGTTCCATCGTTAACAATGGAATTGAATCGATTTCATCTTTCAGTCCATCATGTATCATCATACTAAAACATTTTAAATTTTTCTGAATGGTAATTAAATCAACTAATTCCTTTGGAATATGATAAATAATTATTACATCTAAAAGGAACAAATTGTGACATGTTTGAGTCAAATTAATAAGAAGTTCAGGAGAAATATTTGAACTAAAAGTTAATTTTGTAAGATTTTTTAAGAAACCTTTAGGACTAGGATAAATATCATAAGTTATACTATCAGAATATTGAACGTATTCTAAAACTTTTAAAGAGGTTTGATTCATATACATTTTACATATTTCTTGTACTATTATGTGTGTATAATTGATAAGATCTTCAACTAAAAGATTATATTGATTTTCAAGAAGGTGAAAAATTTTTTCATGAACTTTACTAATTGATAAAACTTTACAAAATATTGCATAATTGAAAATTTGATGTGAGGTAGAAATAATAATTCCATTTTCTTTTAAAATTTTTTTGGACTCATCTGGAAGACAATTAATTAAAGTTCTATAATCTGAAATACTATAATTATTACAATCTCTCCATAAAATTCCCACGGTAACTTGACACCAAAGGCGATTAACTAATAAACATGAATGTAAACTATATTTATCATCATTTAAATATTCAATAACTTCGTTAAGACAATCAGCGAAAAGTTGAGGCATTTTGTTAATATTATTGAAAATTTTAGGTTTAATTTTAAAAAATGAAAAGTTAAGAGTTTTGACTAATTAAGATTTTTGTTGTGCCAATCAGAATTATGGACATTTTGTATCACATTGCGTCAGTGATGGAGGTCATTTGACCATTTTGAAATGACCGAACCTAGTCATTCGGGTCATTTGTCATTTGAGTCATTTAGAATTAATTGACCAAATTTATGATGCCGACCGGAATTACAAATTCATATTATCACGTAATATAATTTTATCCTTGAAACAATGAAATTACATAGATAACTAGATAACTNTTTTTTTTTTTTTTTTTTTTTTAAAAAAATTTGAGTTTTACGTTCAATACTGTATTACAAACAAAAAAATCACATGGTTACTATTTTTGGTTGTGGTTACTTTATAAATATCATGTGAAAAAGTTTTAATTAAGATTATTGTTGTGCCAATCAGAACTATAGACATTTTGTATCACATTGCGACTTGCATAGGATCTTGGATATCGAATCTAAGAAAAGAAAGGTAAAATAGTTAGAGGTTTTCACTAATTTGATGAATAATTTGTACTCTTAATTCTTGATTAATTTACGTAGAGGAATATATTAATTGTGAAATTTAATTGATTTTTTGGAATCTTCTGTCTAATCCTTGTTTTAGACATTTATTATATGATGTCAAATAACTGATTGAGATGCATAGATAATGAAAAGAAATTAGCAAAATAGCACGTAGAACAACGCCAACAGAAGGCGCCAGCTTACTACTAATTTATAAGAGATAGATAAGTAAAATCGATTCTATATCCTAGAGCAATAAATAATTCTAGCCTACGAAAGCTTAACCTTAACGTCATTTGTACTTTGTAGTTTTTACATCATATGTACAATAAATAAAAGATACAAGTTGCTATATTGTATGATCAGATGATCATTATTTTGTTTACAATGCAGCACATGGCAGGTAGACAATAAAATTTTGGTGGTTGTAATTAAATTTAATTTGTATTTATGTTTTATTAATAATATTTTCTACATTTAAATGACCAAAGTTGCCACACTTTAACATTTGATAGGGTCACAAGTCACAACGCTCATCATCGTCAGAATAACTATTATTCTCATCATAAGAGCTATCAGACTCACCATCTAAAATATTAATTTAACTATCTTTTCAATACTTTAATTTTAGGAGGAATTTATATAAATGTAGCTAAATCAAAATATACTAATTTATAATTAAAAAAATCTTGCTTTTTAACTATCAAATAAAATTACTAGCTCTATCATAAAGTCAGATTGTAAGTAAAACTGATACTGATACATGTTACAATTTCTTTTATTATTTACATAATTACACAAATATGCATGTTTTTATATTATTACCAATTTATTTCAGCTCACTTATGCACAAATTGCTTTAGTTAATATTGAAAAATTACATTATATGTTAGAGAAATTGAAGTTGAAGGAACAATTTTTGTAAATTTAATTGTAGTTTATTTTATTAGTTTTTTTTTAAAAAATTTATGATATTATAATAAAGGTAATTAATTATACTTGATATCATAATTAAAACTTCATTTTTTTTTATTTTTCTTTCCCTATAAAAAATTTTTATCCGAATATTTCCATTATTTCTCCGTGACTTCCGTAAAAATTCCGTGAAAATGATACATTCACGGATATCCACGTTAGCGAGATGAAAATTTCCATGATTTAAGGCTATTAATTCCATGAAAATGATACATTCACGGAAAAAACATGGAAAGATTAAACACGGATCAGATTTTTTACAGGGTTTTATTTTGGGTCATGACTTGTATTACTTCGCATTTTAAAATAATTTTTTTTTACATAAAGTGGAGATAATTGATGTAGAAACGAAATTTATTATTTAGTCAGAAAAATGTGAATAAATTTATTCAATAGATGAATTTTGCTCAAAACGTTCATATTCAGAGCATGTTGCTTATGAATTTCACACTAAAAGAATTTCAGCCATTCATATATTTCCGGTGCTGCCAAAAACACACATCTTCAAATTTTAAGTAAAAAAGGATGAAATTGAAGTAAAGGAAATAAAGGTAATATTCTTTAGACAAAAATTTCATATTTTCAGGAGACGTCAATTTATCAACTAAAACCTGTAATAAAATAGGTGTTAGTGTTAATTTCGAGATCACATAAATTATTATTACTAAAGCTCAAAAGGCTATAACAAATGAAGTTATTGAAAGAGACCTTGATTCCATAAGGATGGATATAAATAATATTATTGAAGAAGGAGAAGAAAAAATAGGAGGATTGATCAATGAAATTGATGAATCAATCCCAAAGAAAGAATTTGGTGTAATCTTTGTGGGAGGGGATATGTCCATGAATCCATGAATCAAGCTATAATCGTCATCTATTTACAAAACACTATTAAATAGATTTATTCTCTTTTAGAATTTAGTTTAGCATATAATAAACTGTAGATTTTTATTTCGCATGATAGTTGATCATGTAAATTCATTTTTTTGTATAGTACGTTTACTTGATTTACCTATGAAATAAATATAGTTACATCAGAATAAACTAAGCTTCTATGTTATCTATATTTATTTGTAATATTACACTTATTTTAATTTCTGAACAAAAAAAAATTCTGTGTATTTACTAAATATTATAGATACCACATTGATTTATTATTAATATTACTTAAGAGCTACAATGAATATAACTGTTTGTTATTAACTATTTTTCACCTACAATTCTAAGGAGCTTTAATTATTTATAATAAAATTATAAGTTGCACAACTACATAAAGGAATCCCATAAGAGGTGTAATTGGCTTTCTAATTTCAAAATATTTTTGTGTTTGTTTAAAAGAATTTCCAGTTCATTATATGGTATCTTTTCTTGTAAAATAATCCTGTAAGCACTTAATTGACCTTTATTAAAAGAAACATCATCTTGATTTTTTTCTACCTTTTCATTTTGGGCAAGTAGAAGATTCAAAAACTTCTCTAATTCTTTGCCTACATGTTCTTTTGCCTTGGACACTAACTTCATAAAATTTTCCTTCTCTTTTTCATAATAAGGTAAAAATTCCTTTAATTTAAGCAATTTAATCTTGGTTTTCAAATTAATAAAGTTAGAATAGGTATTTGGTGAAAATGCTATGTTGACCAACTCTTGAAATTGATCTTGAGTTAAATAACTTTTTTCTAAATCCTTTATTTGCTGTTTTCTTACTGTAATTTCTTCTTTTAAATTTTTTATTTCCTCCATCAAAATTGTTTATTTTGCGATCCTTTTCTGCAATATTTTCTCTCAAATTATTTATTTGTTGACTTTTTTCAATGATATCCGCCTTCAGTTGGTTTTCTTGTTTATTAAAATTAAAGTTATAATGTACTTGATTATCCTCATCATCATTATATTTTCGTTTACAATTTTTTATGATTGAAGGTAGAAAATATACTTCAACATTTCCTAGTTCTTTATCATGAATATTGAAAGTTTTTTCTTGTACACGTGAATAAAAATCTTTTGCAATGTCTTTAGATTTAAAGTGAATAAGCCCAAATCTGTAATAATAATAATATTAATAAAATTATAAAAATTCTACAATCAATTTAAAAAAAACAATTATACTCACTTATTATCTAATTTTTTAAGAACATGGCATCATATTTGATTTTGTACAATTGAATTGAATATCTCTTTGAATTTATCTTTATTTACTGATTCAAGATCACCAACAACAAAAACTGAATGATCAGAGGGATAGCAACTAAGTCTTAATTTCTTGCCTATATACACACAAAATAAAAAAAATGTAAGTGTTAGAAATGTGAATAAAATGATGCAATGAATGAAATGACACAAACAAACAAATGATCAAACAAATGATGCAAGTGAATGAATGAATGATAAGAGTTCTTATAACTTTTAATGAAGGAAAATACTGATTCCTCTTCCAGAATTGGTAGACCTTTTATTATAGAAACTCATAGATGACATTACATGACATAAATGATATGAATGGTGTTTATAAAAACTTCAAAATCACTTACTTATTTCCATTAAGAAATAAATTATAACTGCTGATACCAGTCTATTAAAGAAGTCGTTTGAACCACCAAAGCAAGGTATATTTATTTATAATTAGATTAAGTTAACCTTATAAAGATTAGAAGTAAGTTAACACAAGTTTTATTTTTCTGTATAATTAACACATTTTTAATTAAACAAGGTGGGGAGATAAATGATAAGTTGAAAAAAAATTCAATAAAGAAAAAAATTGAGAAAGTAAGGATTTTGAAGGTGTATATATATCTTTTCTAAATAGAATAATTAGTAATATGTGTGGAAACTTTTCTGATCGCACTACATAGACTTGTTACATGATTATATGTGGCTTATTAAGATGAAATATTTAATGCGAAATAAAATGATCTGATCTGATTTACAAAAAAATTATTTTAAAAACTTTGTATATGGAGGATATGGAGGAAAAAAATTTTTTTATTAATCACGCATATGATTTAGTCGGGCAATTTATTTCTCTTATTATTTTGATGCTAATTGATATTTATTTTCTAAAAAAAGTAATTGTCATGAAAAAGCCAATGATCAATTTATATTAATAATTTTTACTTTATAAATTAGGCAATTTCTATTTGTACACGGCGTGTTTAAACACGGGTCATATTAGTAGATTAAAACGGCATTCAAAACCTTCTTTAATGCCTTAAGTAAACTTGCAGAGCAGGTGAAAATACATATATTTATCTGTAATATAATAAGAATAAAAAGTAAAAGAGTATAATGTCGGTAGCATTCAATTTCAAATTAAAAAACAAAAAATTAGTCTATTAAAAATTATATTTATATGACCCGTGTACAAACACCCCGTGTAAACTTAGAAATTTTCTATAAATTATTCACCATTGAAAAAAACTTATTGTTATGACTTAACTTTAACCAAAAAAAAAATTTTTTCAGCCCATTGGCTTTGATATAACTACTTTTATTTGATTGCAGTATGTTTTTTAGATAATTCATAGTAAAAAGTATAACGTGGCTTTGAGCCGCTGATCGGCTATGATAGTGATTTTTTTTGAATTGATGATGGTATCATGGCCCATCAGGAAGCCACATCAGTGGCACAACTAAGCCACCGCTTTTTTTATTTATGTTTATACATAAACTTTGGTTTTACTTATTTATACTTGCTTTTTTGTTTTCTTTTTAAAAAAAATAAAATTATAATATTTTTAATTAAAATTTATTAATTTATGAAAGAAACATTGCAATTTTGTAACTGTAGCTTTATTTCTTGTTAAATGTGGCAAAATTTCCCGGTATCGGTACGATTATAAAAAACAATTACCGTATCTTCTGTAGAGATTTCATAATATAAAAATTTGTAAAATTAATTATACTATAGATCATATGGTTGTACTTTTGAAATAAATAGAATATCTGATAGTGACACAAAAAAGGGTTACTTTTTATCTATATCTTATTTCTTTTGAAAAGGTTCCATTCTACTGTTTATTGGTCGGGATGTTACGCTTTATGAGTAAAAAGGTTAGTGTTCCGATTTGTATCTATAGTCAGAATTTTTATCAATCTATTTGCCATAAATGTAGAACAAGATGAGAAAATCATATTTTGTAATATTTAACATTTTTTCCTTTAATTCTCTTTTTTTTTGTACCGAAAAATATATAACAAATTGCAAGAATACTCACTTACATTATAACTTTCGATAAATAGTATATATAGCTCCTTCAAATATTTTTAATTATTGAAAAGAAACGCTCAAATTGTTTGTAAAAAATATTTGAACATGTACTTTCGTACTATAAATCTATGTAATTGCCAAAATTAGAGACAATAACAATTTTTTTTATTACCAATTAATTACTGTAAATACTTGGATCGGGTAAAAACGCTGTACAAACGAATATTACGCGAAAAAGGCTTATTTGTGTGAAAAATTTCGATAAAAGATTTCTGATTAAGTTTCATTGATGTAACAAATATTATGAAAGTATAATCCCACAACCCACATCAAAAGTCATCAATGGATTGATAAATCAGCAGTCGGCATTACAAACCAAACCACATATGACACATCGATAGATGATCACTAAAGTTTTTAAATAAAGAGCGTTCTTTATAATAAAATTTACATAAGACTCATTTGATTAAGGATAACTATTATTCTTCTACTACAATCGCTTGAAACAACTGTCATTAGATCATCCTTAAGCGTTAATATATATATTGATCATTTCGAACGTTTCAAACATTGAACATGTTCACTGGAAAAAACATATTTCCAAATTGGAATATGCAAGCCATCAAGCCCCTAGGCCTAAAACCTAATAAAATAAATTATTGTGATCACTAGATATTTATATTTCTTTTTATTTTTTTTACATTTTATTTTTGTTTTAGGAACGTTACTAACGTTACTAACGTTCATTTTCCTTATTTTTTTTTTAGGAACAGCCTCTTAAACTTTAAAATTGGGTGAAATGGAGGTACCGTAAAGTCCCGAATATAAGCAACCTTTTTTTGTTATAGGGGTGCTTATATTTGGGTAAATTTATATATTTGGTATATTGTAGTATTGGCCAAAATTATCATAGTGTTGGTCAAGGGTGCTTACTTTCGGGTAATATAAAAATCCGGGGGTGCTTATATTCGGGGTGCTTATAATCGGGACTTTACGGTATTTCTTTATTATTACATCTTATTTTTGTTTTAGAAACATTACAATGTTCCTAAAACGAAAAAAAAATAAAAAAAAAGAACACTGACAACCACGTAAACTGTGCCAAAAATTCAGACGTGCGTCAGGTAAATCATTGACATTTATTTACACAAGTTCACGTAAATTTTCATAAGAAACAAGTCCGAAGCGCAGTTATCATTGCACATCAATATGTGCCGATACGAACAGTATGTAGTCCTTCGTTACACTTCAGACTAATAAATAAACAGTAATTCACTAAATGAATTGATTATTTATTAAATAATTTCAAATTGCATAGAAAATTGTGAACAATAATAGAACTATTGTTTAACTATAACAAATGTTTCAATTTCTTCAATATTATAAACCATTTCTGTATTTATATTATTTTCGTAATAATGGTAAAGATTATAAGCTTGTAAGTGTTGACAATCATTTATATATAATGAATTAAAACCAAAATTAAATCCAATGGTGTAATAATCGTATATAGCTTTATCGTATTTTATCACACGACTTATTTTCATATTTTGAGTATCCTCTTCATTTTCAAACGAAAAGATGAAGTTATCTGATGAATAATAAAATCGTTGTCTACCATTATAAATACGTAAAAGACTGTCTCCAATTGAGTTAAATCCAATAGAACTGTATCCGCCAAATATTTTACTTGCTTGTTTAACTTTAACTAGAACTAAACTATCTACTTGGCCTTTACATTTATTTTTAAATGATTCCCATCGATACTACCACGATAAATAAGATTGAATTTATAACGTGAAATCCAGAAATCTTCTTTATTAATCCATTTAAGAATTATTTTTGCGAGTTTTGGTTTAATAATCTTTGAATCAAAATTTCCTATTCTTAGTGGTAATGTTGTTATTTAGGAAAGGTATCTTTATCATAAAATTCTTCAATTTCTTCATAAATTTGATTAAGAATAATATCTTTATATGGTTTGATTTTATTATTAAAATCATCAGAAGCAATATCCACAAATCGAATGAGAGGAATAAACTGATGTAATATTTTATTCAATGCTTTGTAGTCCTCATTATTCCATTCGTTTCTGTCGCACTTCTCATTTACCGAAACAGTTAAATCGTAATTCTCATTTCCCAAACCATGGGTCTGTTCAATACTAAGTGATCCCAAATAACGATTTCTTTAATCAATAAGTCTTCTCGTTCAAGTAGGTCATAAAAAATATCTTTGTCTAATGAGAGAAAGTTATCCGAAGTAATCAATAGCTCTGGGTTAAGGCAAATTATTTTAAAACAATAATCTTGTAAAGTCTTGCAACTTGTATATTTACATGCAGTATTAAGAATAAGAACAAAATTTTTTTGAATCCAATTTCGTTGATGTTTGATCAAGTAGTCTCGTGAATATTCAACTAATTCTTCAAGAAGTAACTCATCAGATGCAATTAAAAGTTTAAGAATATCTTCACCCGGTTGTTCTGTCAGGTCCAGTTCGCCTAAATAAATATATCTAAAATATACATAGAAATAAATTTATGTAATATGTTTTTTCAATAAATAATAAATTAAATGTTTTACCTTAAAATCATGTCAAAGATATTTGGAGCAATATTTGGCTTATGAAAGATGATCATATCATTTTTCTTTGTAATCCAAGTGGATGAAAGAACACCTTTAAAATAAGGAGAACGAGCACGTAAGATTACTGAATGCGCACGAAATTCTTTGGTATTTCGTTTTCTCCAACTTTAATAGTGACATTATAATCATCAGCATCATTTAAAATTAAGGAAACGTCTTTCGAAAGATTGGAATAGAAAAATGAAATCATTTTAAGAATGAAAAAGTACAAGAGTACAAGTTATCAATGACGATGTTTTTGTTTAAAGTTTATCATAGCTTTTTCCTATTCGGTAATCTGTCGTGCTCTCTAAAATATAGTGTTACAATTTTTTTTAGATTTTTTAAAAATAAAGTGACCCGATGAAATGATCATCAAAACACATACTCATTTTTAGTAGTGATATAAATGATTTTAGATTATAAATAATAATCGATGGCTTATCTTCAGATGCCGCCAACATTATCGGCCCAATATTGCCCAATATTATAATGCCTTAAGTTGGTTGGCCAGCATTACTAGGCCAGTCGTTATACGTCAGCTGTCAGCCGACGCTGACGCACATGTATATATATTATTTTTTATATCATAAAAAAATTTTATAACGCATGTTCCACAAATAACACAAAAAAAAAAAACAATGAAAATTTATGTGTTACTCTATTGTTATCAATTTATTTATCAATATCAGATATATACAGATCACGATAGCTAGTTATGTCTTTGTGATTGGCTACTATGATATTACGCTATATTCTAAAAAAGCAAGGGTGTTTTTTAATAAATAAATTTCAATTTCAAATTCAATTTAATTTCAATTTCAATAAATCAATATCAACTGATAACATTGAACGAAACAGAAATGAATTTTAGAAATTGGAAGATGATCATCACTTACAACACTTACAATCAAAATTGGAATTCACATTCTAGCACTAGTCGTAACTATAAATAAGATTATTACAAATGAAATTGCACAATTTTTTATCATAAAAAAAAAAAATAATAAAGATTATCTAATAATGTTGTATTTTTATTATTGTTTAATGCAATCGTAATTTTTTCAACAAAATTACACATTTTTTATTTTTTAATAAATTGTAATTTTTTGATAAAATCGCACTTTTTCCATATATTAAATTATAATTTTTTGATACAATCGCAAATTTTTTGATAAATAACACTTTTTCATATTGTAATAAATTGTAATAAAATCATAATTTTTGATTTTTTGTAATTTATTTAAATAAATAAATCACATTTGTTTTATTGGCAAAAAAACCAATATATAAGAGTAATTCATTTACTTTTTACCACCATTTATTCATTTTTTTTTAAAGAAGGCTTATTTAAACGAAAAATTTTAAAATATGACTGCAAATATCACAACCATCATTATTGTATATACTTTTAGTGTCTGACGAAAGTATCAATAATGATAAGGCACAGCTATCTCTCGTATTGATGATAAAAATGCATTTATAGTAGATCAAATATAGCCAAAGAATAAATGTTTTCGCAACGTTTTTTAAACAAATTAATTATCCCTTAATGTCTTTTGGGCCGGGATTTTTTTTTTAAAGTGATACAGATTACAGAATAATGTTCCGAATAATTAGCTTCACAATTTTGATCGATATATACTTACTACTTATGGTTACGATGTTATACAAATTAGTGATATTGCCTAAAAAGTAGCTAATGACGTAACCAATTGCTTAAAACTGGGAGGTTCGTTAATTTTTATATTGTATGATTAGTTAAAAAATTTTTTCTTTAGCGACGCTGGAAGCAAATTTTTACGTAAAATGATTTGACAGCCTTTTCAGAATATTATTAAAATCTACTTGCATTTTTCTTTTCCTGTTTTTTTTAAAAAAAAATAAAAACAAAATACTACGTTATTAATTTCAAATTTCAAGACAATACAGTATTATATTCTTTTAAAAGGAATGTACTTACGGATAGGGATGGCAACGGTCGGTCATGGTCGGTCATCGGTCGGTCATGACCGGTCAAGAACCTTTGACCGACCGACCGACCGTTTGACCGACCATTTGACCGATCATTTTTTTTATATTTTCGCAGTGTTTTTATTAAGGCAATTGAAAAAACGTGCGAAAACGTTTATTTTTTATTAAATTATTAATAAAAAACGTTTTCGCAACGTTTTTTGTTAAAATGATTAAAACGTTTGCAAAAAACATTTTTTTTTAATTAATTATTAATAAAAAAACGTTTTCGCGACGTTTTTTATTAAATTTTCCATAAAAAAATTTGGTTGGTCAAACGGTCGGTCAAACGGTCAGTCAAACGGTCGGTCAGAAGTCTTGACCGACCGATATCGGTCACGGTCATGACCGGTCATAATCGGTTAATGACCGTGACCGTTGCCATCCCTACTTACGGATTAAAATTCGAAATTGTTAGCTATTCCCATTATGATGCCTTATAAAAAATTTTCTGGGGAAAATTCCGATAAATGTTCATTGTTCTCCAGAAAAACTCCAATATGTGATCAATTTTCTGAAAAATTTTTATAGGGATGGTGAACCAAAGCCGATGTAACTCGTGTGATACGGGTTAAAGGTAATTTAATGTTATTTTTAGTCGATTAATCCTTTAGGCCATTTAGTAAAAAATGCGCAGTAACATTGTATAAGTCATGTCACGTGATCCTTGTTAAAAAGCATAAGAAAAATATTTCAATAACGTTAGGTACGGCTATTCGACGCCATGTTTTATTCACTAAAATACTGATATACAGTACTAAGGAAGCAGAAACATTTTGTAATTCGATAAAAATCAACAAGATGAATAGATATAAAAAACTAAATAATAAATACAAAAGGAATTATAAAATGATAAATAATACAAACAATAAATAAATAATATGAGAAAAAATAATCAATATCAAATCCGACAAGATAATAATCAATATCTATATAAAAATTTATCGAATTAGATTTTTTTTGGTATAACTTATATCGGTGTTTGATCATATGAAATTTTGATACACAAGATACTCTATCGGCCGTAATTAAATACGAACTGAATGTGCGAAATCAATTATTTTTTCGTTAAATCATAACTGAAGCTGATTTCATGCATACATATCGTATTCAATAAGATTTTGCAATGATCCAAACGCGGTTTTTGCTTTTCATTTAGGATCCTATTGAAAGAACTTATTTATCTTGTATAATATCTATCTATATCAATGAATTTTAGTTCATGTTTCTATGAAATTTATACAAAATGAAGAATGCTCATTCAAGTTCAGTTAATATTAATAGTAATTTGATATGATATATCAAATTTCAATATAATTTTTAATATTGTAAAATATTAATTTGAAATACCGTGCAATCGTGCATTAATTAAAAAATCAATGAAATTTTATTTATATTTTCTTAATATTCTTTAATATCCTTAAATTATATTTTCAAAATATAAATTTTACGGGAACGGTAAATTAGTAAATGGAAGATAATATTAATACCCATTTAATATCCGACTTGAGTAAGGACCCCTGAATAAAAAATTTTATAAGTGAACCTTGTCTGGGAAATAGATAAACTGGTAAATATAAACATAAAGTGTATGACGAAAATTTGATAAAATGTGTTTATAAAACTCCAACAATATGTACGACATAAATCTTGTTCATCTTTTCTAAGATTAGATATTCGAGTATGGTACGATTTTGAGATTTTGAAAAACCTGTTTGATTAATTTCCGTACCATAATAAAAATTTTTTTTGTTTTTTTTTTTAATATACTAAATGGACATTGATGTTCAAATAACCACAATGCCCATTTTACCATAGTGATGATAATTTGGACACCAATGTCCATGATTATTTGGACGATTGGACGTTATATAAAAAAAAATATCAACCGTACTGACTCTATAATACTGTATATATAGTAAGAAGTAATTTTATACACGTGACCTCTTAAAAGGAAATTTGACGACAAAACTCCTCAAAAAAAAATTTTAATTTTTTTTATTCAGGGTCCTCGAGTATTAAGGTTTCATAGATTTTCAATTTTAGGCAACTGAATGTCTCAATGTCGACCCATAAATGAATATTGTTTTTCGTCTAAATATATTTATTTCATGTACATTGTTTTAAAAACAAAGATGATGATTTTCATTGTATTACAGTCAAACCTTTATATAACGATATGTCGGGACATATATGAAATTTTTAGAAAATATCGTTATATCAAAGTTATACCGATATTTATATGTCCTCACATATAGTGGGAAAATAAAATTTTATCGGTATATCAAGTTTTTAATAGTATATCGGTATTTTTAATATCGGTATATCGAGGTTAGACTGTAATTGTATTAGTATTGTATTACGTCAAAAATTTTAACAGGTAACAATGTTCATTGTTATTTATACAATTCATAATAATTTACAGTTTTTGATTCGTTAGTATTATTCTGTTAAAAGATTTAAATAAGAATTTCTTATCAACTTTCTTGTTCTTTATAAATATAAGAACTTTAATTTTTTATGTACCACTCTATATAAGCATTTTAAAGTCTTTTAAAAATTTCAAGAAATCTCTATACAAAATATACAAAATGAACTTTATTCAGATTCAAACATATATAGGATTTTGGTCGGGTGCATCTATCATGGTAATTCTTTTTATTTGATATACATTATTTCTTTAAATATTAATATTTTATTCTTTTTTATAAATGTCTTTTCACAATTTGTTCATTTCGGCAATGCTGTACAAAGCTCGTCAGACAAATACTTCGAATATACTAAAAATTATTTTCAATTTTGCTCAAATTGTGCGCTCGGAAGCAAATTTAGGTCTTTATATGACATCAAAAAAAGCTACGTACACTCAATGTGATGCTCTTCTGAGAACTATAATAGTCGGAAATATTATAACGAGATTATCATTATCAGCGTTCTTGATATGGCGTTTAAGACAAATACGTAATGTACATAATTTTGGGTCAGATAAATGGATAAGTATTATATTATTTTCAATTAAAATTGCGCTTTCGGTAAGTTTTTTATTAATAATTATTAATAATTTATAAAAAAAGAAGAAGAAAAAAAAAAATTGATAATCCAATATTATTTCAGATTCCATATTTTATTTTTCAACGGGCATCTACCGAATACGTTCCTGATGTTGATTTAGTTGGTTGTTTTGTTGACTCTTTTACTCCTATACCTTATGGCGCTTGTGGAATTGCCGTGGAATTTCTTATCGATATATTTTTATCCTTTCGCTTAGTTCAAATATTATTCAACGCTAATAAGAACGCTGCTCAAGTTTCAACAAATATTAAAAGCAAACGATCGTTATTCACAGCCGTTATGTATTGGAATTTCTTACGACTATTCGTATCTTTTGTCTTTCATTCTCTAGCTGTTTTGGACATGATATACGTTCTGCCTGAAGTAGAATCAATTACTATAAAAAACATAGTATATAATGTAGATATTCTATGCTTTTTTTAAAAAAAATTTTAGAAGTTACAAGTCAAATGACGTGCATTGACATAACGAATTGTTTCCTGATGCAAATTACAATACAAATAATTTTTTTCTCAATAAACGTAAAATCTTATCAGAATTCTTTTAAAATAAGAACACATATTCATATGGGCCGATCTACAGAATCGGCTGAAATTAAGGATTTATAAAATTTATTAAAAAAACGTGACATTTATTCCACAACTTCCTATTTCAATTGTGTTACATGATCATCTATATGATGCCGACCGGTTAAAAAAAAATTTTTTTTGTACTTTGAAATAAAAATATTTTCCATAGATACAAATAAACAGCGCGAAATCTAATGGGTTTTTAAGTTTCCAATGGGTTTTTGGTATAGGTGATAATTTCACGTTATTTGCATATTAAATATAGTTGGTAACTATTTTTTTTTGTTTTCTAAAAGTTCTCGGCGTTCAGTAGAGTTGTAAGAAGTTGTAAAAGTTTGGGACTTTAGACAAAACTTGTTGTGATTTTATTTCTTGTTTGTTTATATCATATTTTATTAAAGAATCTAAGTAATAACAAAAAATTTTTATTTATTTCAAAATTAGGCAAATTTTATTATTCAAAAATCAGAGAGAGAGTGGGGGAACTTTTTGTGACTTTCCTAACCCCTTGTTAATAAATATTTCTATTTTAGTATTGTTAGAATCACCTTAGTTAAACCCTTATTTTGTTATAATTTCACCTAATTTTAAACATAAGTTACAAAGATATAATTTTTTTGAGAAAAATAAATATTATACTACAAAAATAAATAATTTAGCTAATTTAAATCCGTTTTTTGTAAAAATATTATCATTAAATTACACTCAAAATAGAGCTTTTAGTTGAGCATAATTTTGCATGATTTAATAATATAATGGTAAAATACATAAATTTTTTGAAATTTCACGTACGTTTATAATATGATTCTTTATGCACGTGATAGTATCGCCCATCCAATCATTTTTGTGATAGTTTTTAAATTATAAATTATTAATTAATGGATGATTATACGATTTTTAAGGTCAATTCCGCGGATCGGCCCATATGAAAGGTATTTTTGAAAGTGCTGTTAAATTTTTGTATTTATTATTCAAGAACATCTTTTTTTATATTTAGAGACTTGAAATTAACATCCAGAATTATTGGAAGGGTATTTGAATATTTGAATTAACGTTCAGAACTTTTTAGACAAAATGTTTGAGTGTTGAAATTTATTTTTTATTATAGGACAAACTTTTGATTTATATTTGCTGTATAGTATTTGTATTGCATTTAGTTAAAAATAAAGTTTTATTAAAAAAAATACTGTGTATAATTTTTATTTCCCAAATTTTTTCTACAGGTAGTACCTGTATGTGACTGATCCAGCATTCCTTAACGTATCATGTGTATTAGTGTATAATATTATCGTAAGCATCCTTGGATGTGTACGATATAAAATAAATAGAGTAATAAGTTGACTTAAATATATTGAAGTTTTGTATATTTCATCTATTAACAAATCCGCACACGAGTATAATTACAATTTACAACTTTATGAGCATATACCGATATACTGTATGTATATATATTTATATATTTATTTTTTCATATAACGTTATATTTTGTTGTGTATATATTTTTTCATAAAAGGAACGTTTTGTTAAATATTTTGTTAAAATTAGGATTTTACCTACAAAAAATAACCTTCTATCTAACAATTTAGTTTCAGAAATTTATCTCTTTGAATCTAAATATAATTTTTTGATTAATCTATCTACACTCTATGAACATAATATATACCTGCCAAACAATATTTAGTGAGAAAAGAGTTAACTTAGTTGCACAAAGTTCTATGAAAGTTCTATTTAAAAAAAAATAAAATAAATAAAAAACGCGTATTATTATAAAATTTTATTTCTATACGTGCTAAAAATTTTTTTTTTTTAAAAAAAATAACAAACTATTAACTAAGAAAGCGAGAGAAAGAAAGAAAGAATAACCAATAAAATAAAATAAAATAAAATCTAGACACAATTTTTGAGCAGAAATTACGAATTTTACCTAGATAACGGATTATCTAACGGATTATGTATCCCGTTATCTGGGTTCGGATCGGATTTAAGGCGGACTATCCGAATGGACGGATTTAGAATCGAATCTCTACTTGTTGTGGGAGTTTCTCGTATGCATATAATTTTAATTTTACTACATATACTGTATACCATGGAAATAATAAACTCCGCAAATTTTGGAAGCATGCTTCGATAAAAAGATATATAAGAATTATAAATAAAATGTAATAATAGAAAATAAACGAAGGGTGTGATAGACGGTATATATTGTGTATATATAATATAATATTATTAGCTAATAAAAACGTATTTTAAAATTATTGAGTTGACGTTTTATTTAGGAAAAAAAAATATTCTAAGAATCAATTTTTTATTCCAAATTCGTTGATCGACCGGTCAGACAATACTACTTCTGAAATAGGAAATTAATTGTTTTCAGAAATCGGTTAATATTACAAAATGGAAAATACTATTGCCGAAAAAAAATTAACCTCAATAACTAACAATGTTTAGTATGAATGCAGAATAAAAACACGAAATCAATCATTTCGGTTCTTACTGACCAAAACATAAAATTATGGTTTCAGTTGCTAGTTGGCATTAGAACCCGTTTTCTATTAATTAGTCGGTAATGTCCATATGCGGAAAGAAGTTTATGTAAATCTTAAATACTTGGTGTCGGCAAACAGAGATTTAGATTAGATTTTTTTTCTTTTAATAAATACAAATTAATTAGGTTTAATAAATTTTTTATTACAATATTAATTTTAATGCCTGGTATGTTGAACAATCTGAATTTCTTGGCTGATTTTACGCTAATTTTCGGTAAGAAAAAAGCCCATTTATCATTTTATTGGTTTCAATTATTTTTAAAAATTCTTTTTAGAGAAGCTGTTCAACTTAACTAGACATACTGCAGCTTAATTACATTTGTTTATCGTACAAAGATGATAAATTTGAAATAACAGAGACGAAAATGATCATCAAAATTTATCATTTCCATTTAAATTTCTTGATTTGAGGCTAAATATAATACTAAGTTTATTTATAATTGGGATCGGCACAATATACTTCCAGATTACGTAACACAATTTTTTTAATATTAGACCAAAATGACCAAAATGAATGTGTACATTTTGCTGGATATTTAATCCTTTTTAGAAATGAATGAATAAAATTTTAGAATTTAAAAAGAAACGCTCCACCTTCTCCCACAATTATTTTTTTTTCATCCAAAGCATAAAAATGGAAATCAATTTTATTCAGACGCAAGCATATATTGGCTTTTTGTTGGGAGCATCTATTATGGTAAGATAATTTTAAAATAAAATTTTGATTAAAAAGTAAGCAGAGAAGTTCTAAAAAACAATCTTGAGTCTAAAGTAGAAGAACTCTCTGGTGTTAAATGTTAATCAATGATTACTACTTTTATCCCTTTTTATAGATATGCATTCACAACATGATCGTTTCGATAATTTCATATAAAATACGTAAAACACACGCTTCAAGTATTCTTAAAATTGTTTTCAATTTTGGTCAAATTGTGCGCAATTCTGGGGCTGTTGGCATTTATATGACTCCGAAAGTCCCTACAATCCTTCAATGCGCTGCCTCTTTATACATTACGTATATCGGAAACATCATATCAAGATTATCATTAACAGCTTTCTTATTATGGAGGATAAGGCAAATAGATATGAAAAGTAAAGACTGGGATAAACGGATATGCATTTTATTATTTGTAATTAGAACTGCATTTACGGTACATTTTCTGCTAAAATATTGATACTTTCTCCTTTTAAAAACAAATTAAAAACAAATAATAACTGAGTATCGATATCAATAATTATTTTTATAGATCCCATACCTAATTTTCCAACAAATAACTACCGAATATGTATCCGAAAGTGAAACATCTATTTGTTATTACGATTATCTTAATATTGCCCCTTACAGTATTGGAGGAATTGTCACGGACTTTTTAATTGATATATATGTGACCACACGTTTAATCCTTATTTTAAAAAATGCCAATAAAAATGCTTCTAAATTGTCTTTAAATATTAGAAGCAAGAGAACATTATTCACAGCAGTTACGTACTGGAATTATTTACGATTGATAATATCTTTCATCTTTCATCTTTTTGCTGTTTTGGATATATTTTATCTTCTAGAAGAAGGTCCATCGATGACTGTGAAATGCATAATATACATTTTGCTATCTTACGTAATCACCATCGATGCTGAAATTGTTCATGCCATTGAGGGTAAAGGTGGATCGTCAACAAAGACCGTGAAATCTATTCAAAATACTGATGATCATATATCCTCTACTTTATCCTCTAGCGATCAAACTCACAGCCAAATTATTGATAATGATAAAATAATAGTTGTATCAATGAAAAAATTATCATTCTTCGAATGTGCAAGCACTGTATTAAAAAATGAAGATGAGAATGATGAGAGCCTTGGGGATGATGAGATTAAAGATGATGATGAGATTAAAGATGATGATGAGAGTAAAGATGATGATCAAAAAATTAATGACACATTAAAAGAATCTTCAAATATGGAAATCATTATCCATTAATTAATACTGAATATTAGACTTTTGTAAATATTGTATATTAGTGACTTAAAATTTTTATATTTATATATGATCCCAATATATGTATTGTCCTAATAATTATTTACTATTTTAATCAACCAATGAATTGAATCATTTTTATAATTTTTAAAAAGTAATTAAAAGTAAAGGTTTATAAATTCAAAGAAATATAGAAGATTTTAAATCAAATGTTTAAACCACAGGTCGATAATTTTCATAGTAGGAAGTGCAAGTGCATGATTCTTATTGATGCTATAATTCTGTGCAAATTCTTATTAAATCACAAATTAATGAAGATGAGGCTTCCAAATTGGCAGAAACATTATCTATTAACTTTCTCGAAGGTCCTATAAATAATTTTTTTTTTGTTATGTTAATATTATAAATATACTATTTGTATATTTATATATCTAAAAGAATGCATTAATTATTTTTTTCTATATTAAACTGTGATCAGAATAAAATTATCATAATTTTCGCATTGAAAAGTTGTTTAGAAAATAAAAACTTACACAAAAGAAATTGAATGGAAATTAAATGATGAATTCATGTGAAGAAAGTGATGTCGTTAATTGTAAAAAATAATTTTACAAGTTTTAATGTACAGCAAAAAAAAAGGTAATAAAAATATGAACTATGATAGTGTAAAATTCTTCAAATTTGTAGGGTCAACATTTATAGTTAACTTTCTTAAGCGTGTACATTTATTCGATGTTGCCCTAATCAGTTGATTATTTTTGGCTTCAGACTCACTAAGTGGAAAGCGTATATCAATTTTTAAAATGTTCCCTGTTTCCCGTCCTTGTCTCAACCAAATCACCATACAATAGCACTAGATCATAGTTCTAGGTTTGTTGAATTAGCAGATGCACTAAGAATATTGGTTTTTTTTTAATAAATTTGTATTATTTGTTTACTTGTTAATAACAAAAAAAAAAAATTTCACTAATATTTCATTCCATATGCATATAATTTAATCTTACTGCACATCCCGCATACCATGGGAAATAATAAATTGCAAATTTTGGAATCATGCTTCGATAAAAAGATATAAATGAATTTCAAAATAAAATATAATAATTTTTATTAATAGGAAATAAGAGAAGGCATTAAGAAGTGCGGTTGCCCAAAAAACCCCCCAAAAATACATTTTCTTGAAACTATTCATTTTAAAATTATTGAGTTGACGTTTATTTAGAAAAAAAATATTAAGAAATTTTCTATTTTTATCTTTTCTAAATTCGTTGATCGACCGGTTTGCAAATTTGACCAGAATTATAAAAACGGACATAAATTTGGCCGGAATTATAAAATGGACATAAATGTCCAGTTTTCAAATTTGGCCGGAATTATAAAAACGGACATAAATGTCCGGTTTGCAAATTTGACCAGAATTATAAAACGGACATTTATGTCCGTTTTTGTAAACTTGGTCAGCATTATAAATGTAAATATTATAAATTGCATTAATTTATCATAATCCAGTGATCATAGAAAAAATAATTACAACTTGTTAGCTTTGTCTCATCAAGATATGTTAAATTGTTAAATGGTGGTTTCTACTTTCTATCATCAATATATGGGAAGTTATTGGCATTTGGGAAATATTTAAGAATACAAAAAAAATCTTTTCAAAAAAATGTTAATATCTTATTATTTATTAATCCTAAAGGTATAAAACTTCTACCATTTAATACATCTTAATACAATCCAACAAGCTGTGTATTATCTTTATATAATAATTACTTGATGGCAAGTTAATGCAATTTAACTTTTAGCGCTTTGGTATATTTAACCAAAAAAAATTTTTTTTATTGTATTTAATATCCAATAAAAATCAGACATATAAAAAGATATTTATATTATTTTTATAATTTATTTGATATATGAAAGTATATGAACATCATGTTTTATAAATATTATATGAAAATTTTGTAAAGAAAAATATATAAAAATTTATAATTGATATAATTACTATAATTTATTATTTTAATGCATCACATATTTATGGAAGTTTACTTTAACATAACATATACAGTATAATTATATTATAAATTAATAAAGAAAATGTATAAATAAACTTACAAATTTTCTCCAATATATTTTACCAATTATTATAATTTATTTTAATTGCATAAAGTTTATTTAATGTAAGTTAATTATTTAATAAATTATATATTTATGAACATGTTTGTTTAATGCAATTGCAATTTAACATTTAAAAAATGATTTTTGTTTTTATTTTTTACTATTAAATATAAATTATTTCAAAAATGCCAGAAAATTAGAACTTTAAATTATTATCTGAAAATTATTCTATTAAATAAAACATTAATTTTTTTGTTTTTTATTTACTTTTTTTATTAGATCTAGAAATTGTTAGAAATTTAAATCCTTCAATTTTTAATACATTACATATTTATAGAAATTAAATAAATATACTTATTTATTAATCTATTTAATGTACTAATTTAGCAATTAACATTGACTTTATTTTGATTTTATTTATTTTTTTTATTGATTCAAATTATTTTAGAAAATTAAATGATTTAGCTCTTTTAATTATTAATACATTATATATTTATGGGAAGTTAAATAAACATACTTATTTATTAATCTATTTAATGTAATTTAGCAATTAACATTTGATTTTATTTTGATTTTATTTATTTTTTTTTATTGATCCAAATTATTTTAAAAATTGATAGAAAAATAAATGTCCAGAAATTGTCTATGTAATGTCCGGAAATAGTCCAGAAAATATTTGATATGTCTGGAAATTGTCCGGTTGTTTGATACAATTTAATTTTCAAATTTTGTAATGTCCAGTTTCTGTCCAGAATATGCCCAGTATTATAATTCAGAACAATTTTAGGACAGACAAACTTGGACAAATTCTGGACATAACAAAATTCAGACAATTTGAACTGGACAATTTCTGGACATAACTAAATTCTGGACAAATTCAGGATGTTGGTTTCTAAAAAAGGATAAATTAATTTTATAAAAAAATGTAAAAAGCAAAAAATTGACATTCTAAACATTTTTTGTCATATTGATTAAAATTGCAGATCGGTTATGATCAGTCATCAGTTGGTCATAACCGGTCAAGAACCTTTGGGAATGGCAATGGTCATGGTTATTAACCGATTATGGCCGGTCATGACCATGACCGATATCAGTTGAACAAGACTTCTGACTTACCATTTGACCAACTGTTTGACCGATAACGTTTTCTCAACATTTTTATTAAGGCAATTAAAAAAATGTACGAATTTTTAATTATTTTAATAGAAAATGTTGTGAAAACGTCTTTTATTAATAATTTAATAAAAAAATATTATTCACAAACATTTTTAATTATTTTAACAAAAACATTGCAAAAACATTTTTTATTAGTAATTTAATTAAAAAAACATTTATGCAACTTTTTTTAATTATTTTAACAAAAAACGTTGTGAAAACATTTTTTATTAGTAATTTAATTAAAAAAAATGTTTTTGCAACATTTTTTTAATTATGTTTTTATTAAAAAAAAGTTATTGCATGTTTTTTTAATTGCCTTAATAAAAACGTTGTGAAAACATTATCAGTCAAATGGTCAGTCAAATGGTCAGTCAAACAGTCAGTCAGGTGGTCAGTCAAAAAGTCAGCAGTCAGTCAGAGCGGTCGGTCAGTCAAAAGAGAAGGCAATAATACTATAAATCTGTGATATAATTTAAGTTAAAGTGGATATAGTGATGATCATCAGCATCTGCTAATCATTTTTCATGGAAAATTCTTGACATATCCGATTTCTGGACAAATTCCAGATATATATAGTCCTATAAAAAATAAATGTCCAGAATATGGAAAATATTCGGACAATTTTGCAAATTCTGGACATTTTTACTGTCCAGAAAATGTATAGGAAATGTTCTAAATCTTGACCGTTTCTGACATTCAGAATATATATATTATACTATATATACATTGTAATATATATATAAAATATATACAGTCTACCTTTGATATAGCAAAGAAACCGTTCTGCACCTCAAATTCATTATAGCAAGTTAACGAAGAATTTGAAGAATTTGATTGGTTACTTCATTATAGCAAGGGAAAATTGACATATTTTATTGGCTAAATGTCACGTGATTCATTATATAAAAATTCAACTATAGGAACTAAGGGTAAACTGTAATATATAATATATATAAAAAACATTAAAGTAAAAAAATTTTGCTCAAATTAGGATAATGACAAGGCCAATCATTTATTATTGAAAATTATTCAAAAATTTGGGTAAAATTTGATGATTTTGTGATCATCAAATTAAATTCAGGAAAATTTAATGTAATCTCTTAAAAAAAGAAATATCTATTTTTGCATTTTTAACTAATTTAATTAATTGATTAATTAATCAATGATTAAATTATTTGGTTAAATTATTTGATTAACTGATTTTTGAGATACCTTAATCAGTTAACCAACTTAATCAACTCCAATCTCTAGTTGAAGTAACTAGTGAAGTAGATTGGCTGGAGTGCAGGAGTTGGAAATGAAATTACACCTATAATAATAATCAAAAAATTAGACCTATTCATACTGCATGGCAAATAAAATATAAGTACTGATTATTATTACTCTTTTACTTGACCTATTAGCAGAATATGAATGGTCTTTAGACAGATTTTCTTGAACTCGTATCATCCCTACCACAATGTGACAGGTTGTGTCTAGTGTTTATACTAAAAAAATTTTCACATGTAAAAGATGTAAAGTAATTATTGCCATTTTCGACATTATTGACAAAATCTGATTTGTGAGGTCATCATGTGATTTTTGTATTGCAAAAAGTGAATCACTTTTTTATACGAATTTTTAATATTTTTATACCAGATTTATTTTGTGATTCATATAATTCAATGTATAACACTATTCCACTGAAAGTTTCAATACATACTTTATATAGGAAAATTGGCCTTTTTTGCATTTTACTGCATTTTTTTGCATTTTTACTATGTTTTTTAAAGTAAATCACATTTCTAGATAAATTTTTAAT